AAATCCAGAGCAGAGACAGAATCAGACGATGAATATGGGACTCTTATTACTTGGTGTTGCTATAACAGCAACAGGAAAACTTTAAAAGCTTTGTCAAAGTCATTATGGATTCAACAAACTGAAGAACAGAGGCAATAAAAAGTGAGTTATACAAGATCTAAACAGGCCTTCAGTTTACACATAAAGATGTAGATCACATAAAATCTGAAACTAAAAAACTGAACTCAACAACTCGTTGCAGTCTAACATTCGTGTGTGCCATTCTGTTGGCTGTCACTAACAAGATGGCGTAACAACCTAGTAACTGAACGTATTGTGGAGTCACTGGGGGAGACCTGAACAGAGGAGAAAGTGAAGAAAATTCTTTCAGAAAAGCTACAACTGGAAATAAACACACCAAGCCGCACACTTCTGCACACATCGTTTGTAACAAGAGGCGATTTGAGTTACTGCTGCAGCTCAACGCTGATGATCATTCTCTTCAGACCTCTAACAAGGCATTTTTGCCCAGAGAACTCCTGCATTTGCATTTATGCATTTTTGATTGCATTTATGTGAGTTTTACAAATAGCATCTGTTACCCTCTTTGGTGAGAAGAGGCTGCCGTTTGGTGGGCACCTGGTTTCGGCACATTCAATGGGCATGCTCAGTCTGTAGAAGGTAATGTCAGTGTAGCTGTTCTGTGAGCCGAAGGACTTCTGAGTGACCTTCAGGCATGGACACGACTCTATTGTCTCGTCTATCCTCGTCACCTGAAAAAGAAACACAAACATACTGTCTGTATGTTTTATTCAGCTCAGCTTATTTTTTGGTTATTTATTCAACACGTTTGTTAAATGTTGAGAATGTGTTGAAATGTATCCACGGTCCTGTCCTCACCTCGATGTGCTGGTGGTGGAGGGGTACTGGTACAAACTGAGGGAGCCTCTTGCTAAGCCACATGGTGACATCCCGGTTCATGTTAACAGCAAAAGGCTCATAGCCTTCTTGTAGGCCACAAATGGTGAAGTACTTTAAAGTGCTGACATCTTTACCAAAGTTCATTCTCCCAGCCTGACACACACCCAGACTGCAAACTGGTATAAAACCTGTGACAGACAAAAACAGTCAAATCCTATAAAACATATATTAATTATGTATCTTAAAATCTGCGCACTAGATAATCTGCTTCTTTCACATCTAAATCCTATCATGGGTCAGTGCTCCTTAATCATCAAAATTATGCTTTGTTTTTTGTTTTGTTTTTGCCTCTCTGTCCAAGAAATACGCCCAACAGATTTATTTTCCCAAGTAGACCATTACGGCTTTTGCTGGTCCACTTGACTGTCATAGGTTATTTGATCTTTATTATATTTTTTACATTTTAAGTTATTACAATCAGAATGGTCAGGACCGGAGGACAGAGAAGAGAAAGAAGAAGAGAAGAGACGTTGGGAAGTGAGTTATCATCCAAACTATTCTGACATATTTACCTTTGAGAACCTTAAATCAAAGAAGACAATCTCGTAGATTTATCAGCTGCTGTCCAGATAACATTACTGAGCTTTAGGACTATTAATAAAACAGAAGTATAAATATCCTGTTTCTAAAAGTGGAGTTACTCTGACTTCCAAGAAGAAACCTGAAGCATTCAAAGTGTTTTTCGCCATCAGTCTTAAACTAAACTGCAGTTCAAAGGATATGCTGGTTAAGCACCTCGGCATCAGTTTGTAAGAAAGTAAATGATGACTGTGTTGTATAGAAGGAGGTGCACTGTGCACTTCATTGATCTGTTTAAAACAATTGCATAGACAGCCAAATAATAATTTGGCTTTGGCTT